ATATTTTCACTTTTATTGAAAGTATTTAGAAACTATTTTCATCTGCAAAACTTAGCTCATGGCCAACTTTTCAGAGACATTTCTGTATTCTTGAAAGTAAAACACTCCTGTGTTCACACCAAAGCCGTGTGTTCCCCATGGATGTATTCCTACAGTTATTGCACAGGTCTGGGTGGCATACGCTGAAAGGAAAACTGACGTTTGCTTGTTTGTTTGTTTGTTAGTTTTTACTGAGGCCAGCACATTGCTTTTCTGATATTGAGGTTTAAGTATAAGATAAAATTTTAGAGGTCTCAAATATAGTGTAAATACCATGGACAAGTAGGAAAAAGTACTGGATTTAAACATGGATTCCATCACTGTTGTGTGACATTGAGAAGTCATTAAATGATTTGAACCTTACTGCTTTTCATCTGGAAGATAATTAATGCAATATTTTTATATCTTACCTTCACCAGGTGGCTATTAAGACCAAATAAGAGGTCTAAAAAGGTTTAAGCTATGCATTATGCAAATTATTTGATAACTCCATGCAGGTAACCTAAGATTTTGTTGCTAATAAGGCATCTTGACAGTGAAAAATCAACCAAATATTATCAAATACTTCAATTTGCAAATAATCATTGAAGTCAGATTCCACAGAAGCACAAGCACACTTTCCCCGGGCGTCACCCTCCCCGACCGGCCCTTGCACTAACACCCAGTGGTGCCCACTTTGTCACACTGGGAAATGCTGATCACAAGAAGTAAGTAATGATTCTCTTAAAATTCAGAAGGTACATGGTATACACTGAATTACTCAAATGCTTTCTACCACCATATGGTTATTCCTCCAAAGCTCATTGAGATGAACCCACAAGCTAACTATAGTCTCAATAATTGTGTTGGTGCATGTTTCACAGAAAAGGAGTTTGCGAGGCAGTTATCTCATGAATGGCATTTCTATTTGTGACGCTTCTTTCACCTTGCACCCGCCTCACTCTGCATCTCTCCTTCCAGCCTGCAGTGGCGTCTGGGACAACATCACATGCTGGCGGCCTGCCAACGTGGGAGAGACGGTCACGGTGCCCTGCCCAAAAGTCTTCAGCAATTTTTACAGCAAAGCAGGTACTGTCCGTGGGTTGAGTTCCTGAGCTCCTCCAGGGTGTTTGCATCTGAGCGTCCACGTTTTCCATCCAAGAAGCAGGAACATCACTTTCCTTCAGGCATCTCTTCCCACCCTGGGGGTCAGGGAACGGCTGTGGCATACTGGGGTGAGTGCCCGTCTTAGGGAGCAGAAGGGCATCACCTGCCTTCAGCCAAACCGCAGAGAGCAGGGCAACTGCAGGGAAAGAACCAGGTTAGACAGGAGCCACATGGGAACCAAAGCATGGGAAACATGCATGAGAGGGGAGGGGAGGCAAGGGGGGCATAAAGGAGGCTCCCCTCCTCCTGCGGAGTCGGCCTGTGGACCCCGGAGAGCACGCTCTGGAAGTTTCTGGGAAGTGACAAGTGTGGCACCCAGAGCCTCCATGCTCAGGGCAGAGGCCCCAGGACGCACCTAGTTTACCGAACCCATTCCCCCGACCTCCCTGCCGCCTCACTGGCTTGATGCTGCCTGGAATTCGCAGTTTCTCTGGGCTTCCAGGCTCCTCCTCGGCACCCAGGGCATGCTCTGTGGGCAGCAAATACCTCTTGGCCGAGTCCTGAGAGAAGGGTTTGTTTGTTTTTGTGAGTGATTCAGATTTTCACAGTGTGAAGAAATCTGTTCAGAAAAATAGAAAACATAAGAAACATCTGGAAACAGAAAGCATAATACTTTGAAATACTATGGAGAATTTGCTTTTACCTTAGACAGAGGTTAAAGGGTAAGGACTTTGGGAAGTAATAATGCTGTAGTGTTTGAAAGCAGATTATTGGAAAAGAGATTGGGACAGAGGAGAAGGAGATTCCGAAAGGAAGATTTTGACTTTCTCACCCCGAGTTGCCAGCAGAGCAGCCTGAAGGTGGGGACTTTACTTGCGTTAGCATCATTACCCACCCCTGAGTTAGAACTGAAGTCACTTTAGAGAACCTGGACTTTAAGAACTGTTCCCTCCAATCAGTAGCATTTCTACCGAGCAGCTTGGGCTGCATCCGTTCTTCTGGAGAGCTGGAGAGAATTGGCATGGACTCCGGCTTTTCCTAGTCGATGGCATGGTTCTGAGGCTTCCAGAAAGCACCCAGCAGCCTGGTAGTTTGCACACTGGCAAACACCAAAACACAGTCCGGCGTCTGCCAGACAGAAGCCATCTGGGCACCAGGCGCCCAGGCCAGTGAGGCTCTGGCCCTGCCCGGAAGCATCCTGCGCCCCCTGGAAGTGTGAAAACTCCCAGTCGGTTTTGGGTGAAATGCTTATTCCACCTTTTTCCCAAGCAGGGTGCATGACACCACCTTGCTAGTGTGAGGAAACCTGTGGTGTTTCCCCAAGTCTGAGTAGTTGCAGCTAGATGATCTGAAATGCAAGGGAAATATGCTGCTACTTTTTCAACCCATTGGAAAAACGTGAGCTATGCGATGACATGCATAAACTGTGGACGGATGGTCCCCATGGAGTGTCCGCATGGAATTCATCCCTGGGGCATTAAATGGGCATCCTTTGCAAATACTTAGAGAGATGTGGATATGACTGGGGGCCAAGCAGGACTGGGGTGAAACCACCTGGCATCGTACCACAGGGACTGAGGCTTCAGAGACTAAATTCGGCAGGGATAACTGGAGAGTCTTGAAATGAAATGAAAGTCAGGCTCGCATCTGCGTGGTGCTCTGTGGTCTACAGAACGCTCTACACATGTGATGGCTGCTCCTCCCGTGACCTGTAAGGAAAGCTGGGTCACAGAACACACGCGGAATCATTTCCGCCCACAAACCCAGGTGTTCCAGAAATAAGTCACCATTCTAACGAAGCGTTGTTTTCCCTTTTGATTTCTCATCCTTCCAGCAGGTGGGAGGTTTGGGGGTTGTCTGTCCTACACTAGGCAGGTGGCCTCTGGGCATCATCACACGTGCCCGGCTCATCGTCACAGTGACCAGCACACTGGCACCCTACATCTCTGTGCCAGGCGGGACCCTGGGCTGTGTCCAGAAGCAGTGGGCAGCTCCTTCTGCAGGTCCTAACCCTGCCCTGCAGCAGTGGGACCCGGGATGCAGGTGCTCTCCCCACCCGGGCTGGACTTCACCGCTGCTGCTTGGGGAAAGCTGTGAGGATCAGGTGCTTCGGGCATTTCCTGCCCCATCCCCTCCAGGAGGCAATGAGCCAGCTGTCTGCATAGAGGGGAAAAAGGAAGCAGGAGCCGGGATGAGAGGCACAAGGACTCATCACCGGGAGGACAGCCTTCTGTGGACAGCTCCTGTTCAAGTGCCATGCTCAGGGCCCAGGAGGCAGCTCCTACAGCTGTGTGCTGGCCTCTCTCCCTTGACTTGCTTTCTGTGTTTCCAGTTGCTCCTGGTGCCCACCTGCCAATTCTGCATGGCACTGTTGTAACCAGACCCAGGGCAGCAGCTCAGCTGCCCATCCAGCACAGGTGTAGGGCCAGGTGTGGTTCTGAGCCTTTAAAGGGGCATCAGCACATCCCCCAGTGGAGGATGATGTAGCCTCATGGGGCTTGGAATAGTCGCTGAGAGCACTGAAGCCCTAAGGGAGGCCTTCGAGTATTCGTCATCTTGCAAGTGGGCGAGAGCGTGCCCCCGCGCCCCACAGCCTTTCTTTGCATCTCCCTGGCCTCTCTGCACTTCCCTGGCCTCTCTCTGCCCCTCCCTGGCCTCTATGCCCCTGGATGATCTCTGCCTGCACCTCCCTGGCCTCTCTGCATCTCCCTGGCCTCTCGTAGCACCTCTCTGGCCTCTCTCTGCACCTCTCTGGCCTCTCTCTGCACCTCCCTGGCCTCTCTCTGCATCTCCCTGGCCTCTCACAGCATCTCTCTGGTCTCTCTCAGCACCTCCCTGGCCTCTGTGCACCTCCCTGGCCTCTCTCAGCACCTCCCTGGCCTCTCTCTGCACCTCCTTGATCTCTGCAGGTTACCACCTCAGGCATTTCCTCTCCTTCCACATTTGCCCCGTGTGTCTCAGGAGTGAGAAGTCAGAAAGGAAAAAAAACCTGTGAGGGAATCTGCACTTCACAGAATGACTGACTGAGTTTTTGGAGTTTTATTTAAGTATCTTCTTTGGATTGGTAAACACTGATCTGTAGGAAGGAAAAAAGGCCGCACCTCGCAGAGGATGAGTGACAGGCTCAGCTCCCACCGAGGCCCTGGCTTCCAGACTCAGGATCGGGGCCTGTAGGTGCCCTGCTCAGGTGAGAGCCAGGCTGTCAGATGTGGCGCTTGGCCCATCACTCCCCAGTGTGACTTTGGGCAAGTGACACTTCTTCCTCAGTCTTGGCCGTCTCATCTCTGAGATTAATTGGAGAGCTGCCTCCTGTGGCTGTCAAGATTAACTGGGTTGATGCAGACACAGAGCCTGGCATTCCTGAGGGCTCAGTGAGTCGTAGCGGCCACTAGCACATGACTACTGTTATGATAATAACTATTAAGAGTGCTGTTCCTGAGTCTGTGGTGGGCACATCATTTATCTTTGTAGACCTGTCTCCTTGTCTGCACAATGGGGCGGTGGGACCAGGTCTCTAGGAGTCTCGCTCCTTTTAGGGCTCTGTCTTGCCTGTACTGTGCATGGGGTCTCTGCAGCTAAGCGGCCCCCAGACCTTACTGGGGCTCCCTGTGTGAGGCGTGGGCCTTGTAGTCAGAGCCCCTGATTGGTGATGGTGTCGGGGTGCCAGTGGGCAGGGCCAGCCCTGTGGCCTCGCTGAGACCAGTCTCCTACCCCACTGCTCCCCAGTAGAGCCAGGGCCTGGCCCAGCCAGCCCTCCCTCTGCCTCTCACCACTGCATGACAAGAATAACGCATGCACCCCACTCAGAAACCGAGTCTTCGAAGCCTTGTTTTCCCTTCTGTAAAATGGGAACTGCAGTGCCCACCAAGTCTGTCTTGCAAGGTTGTCTTGAAATTAAAAAGTCATGGGAGTGGAAATATTTACTAAATCCAAAGCCCCAGAACCTTCCAGTCCCCCGGGCAGGGAGACAGGGGCCCCACTCTGGCCATGCCAGGTGCAGGAGTGCATGGAGGGGTCTGGCTTCCTGGGCTCTGCTGTGGGGGTGATCCTGACGCCATGCAGCCATGCTCGGGGCAAGGCTGGCACGGCGTTCAGTGCCTGGTTTTATTCTTACAGCTCAGACACCTTTGAGAGCTCTATCACCTACTGTTCTGTGTGGCCGTCTGCTAAGGACACAACAAATACAAGAAACATTGAATTTCTGAGCTTACATATGATTTTAGTTCCTTAGGAGAAAACGATGAGATTGTAAGGGCACAATTGCCTTGATTTCCTACAATTAAACTGTAATTCCGCCATCCTTTCTTCCAACACCAGTGGCCAAATGGAGCCTGCCCTACTGGGTCA